ATTTAATAATTTAAGTACATATAATTTAGCTAGATGCATATTTTGAGCTATAGTAAAGGAACTATCAATTTCAAGTTTGTGTGTGAGAGGGAGAACCATTATGTGCATGCAAGGCCAGTGTTAAAACTAAGCCGTGTAGCAGCTATAGCATGTGCTATAAGAATTATTTACTGCACATACGATAGTGTGTATACAATGAGTATAACTAACTATTTACTACCTGCAAATATCGTTCTATTCTTGAAGAAAGTGACAGAGAAGCTCTCTTAGTGCTACCTTTTCTGCAAAAGCTGAGCGTTACAACAGTGTCCGCGCCTAATCAAATTCATATCTATGGGATCACGTGATCAGTTTCCAATCCCGGTTACGTAGTCTATAATATCTATGAACTTACATACAACATAAGATTAACAATTCTTAATCTATATATACACACAATAATAAAAGTGGATTTTAATTAAGCCTAACCTGTTATCAACTAAAGGTTGTACGTGAAAGTCTCCACCTGATAACGGAGTACTGACTGTACGAGAGGGAGGGGGCGGGGCTGAGAGAGACGAGAGAAAAGGAGGATCGTTCCATCCTGCCACACTACCTGGAACACTCAGTAATGGAAGACTAGTGGTCTGACCACGCCTACTGTCCTCTTCCTCAGCTAATGTAGGACTATCCAATGGCACTGTGTGAAGGGTCTCGTCTGATTTAGAGGGAGGGGTAGCTCCGCCACCTTCATTAGAGGAGGGTGTGGCTACTGAAGGTACTGCTGGAGCTGCAGGAGCTAATGTGAATGGACTACCACCTAGTTATTAATTAATAGTTATTAAGTACATGTAACTTATCGGACTTTCTATTACAATTAATTCCTCGCATCGTCTCACTAATAATTACCATGCACATACTTATTGTTATTAATTATATATAATTAATTAATTATAATTACCTGAAAATATGTCATCCCCGAATCCTAGTGAAGATAGGCCAGTGGCTGGTGAGGAGAAGAGGTCAGCATTGAATAATGAAGCCTTCTCTTTTGATGGAGTATTACTAACAGACATGAGAGAGAGAGATAGAGAGTGATAGAGAGAGTAGGAAAGACAATCAATAAAAATTAATAATGGTGGTTATAACGTCACTGCAATTACGTGTATTGATAGGCGTGGTCAAGGATTTGTCATGTCACGTGACACTAATGGGCGTGGTGGTGTGTTTTAAAATTTCCACCATAGATAATAGAGTAATCTCGCCACTCCTCGACTTTCCTAGTCTGCCACTTTTCTTTTTCTCTCCTAAGTTTGCTTGCAAAAGTTGCTTTGTGCTGCATTTATTCTTTAAGTTACTCGAGACTATCTATCCTCTGGGACTATAGATCTACAAAGTGGATTATAATCTCGATTATATATAATAATGTCAAAGAAAGAATCGCCCCCTCAGTTTCCCGATGATGCTGTAACCGAATCTTCTCTCTCTGAGTCTCTCTCCTCTCAATTCCCTGTACAAGAGGTGAGTACTACAGCAGTAGTCTTGTTAAGTTAATAGCTACTAACAATAAATCTATAATCATGGCCAATAATGATAATGTCATTTTATGCTGCCTGCATGCAGCTAAGCTCATCTCAGGTTACGTTGTTTAAATACAAACCCCACTTAGCACTTACTTATGTGGTACTTATTATTAAAAAATCAAAATGAATTATTGTGCTTTTAGTGAAATATGTGCTAATAATACTAGCCTATTTAATAGTTCTCATTGTACATATTTTTATTACTTATAATGTAAATGGAATGGACATTTATAAGTAGGATTGTTTAGCAGATCCCTATAGCTATTATTATTATTATGGTCATAATCATTATGTATGGTATTATTAAATTATCTTTATAAGGAGGGTATTATCAGACAATGTACATACTTATAGCCTAAAATAAACAAAAATGAATGTATTATTTTTATTTAAAATGCATCACATGATACATATGCGCATGTGATTAATAATCTAATTATAAATAATAGTCAATTAGAACGACAGTATCCCTCCTGCTATTTGTTTTTGATTTCAATATGTTGTTTAAATAACACTCCAATCTTTAACGTAAACAAACATTGTGACTATTTTTCTTCTAATTTTACAGACCGATGAAAGTGAAAATGAGCTTGTTGTCACTAACACTGATCAAGGAAATACTGCTGCTGGAAGATTAATACACAATTTTCTCACTTCAGTTCAGACTTTCAGCAAACAACTCTTGGATTTTACAGAAAAGCTGGAGAAATGTCTATCTCTTTCACAAACGAACCAGGAAAAAATTGCTGAGTTGCAAAAAGAATTGAAATGTTACGTCAAAAAGTTTGAGAAGCATTGCGGAGAAGCAGCAATGGTCACTGAATTAACTCGTCTCTCTGAAGATCACGAAAAGCTCAAGCAAGAAACAAAAGCAATGAGGGAAGAATATGATCAGAAATTTAAAGAGTTATCTGAGAGATTGCAGACACCATCTTTTGAAGTGCCTGTTATGGAAGCAGCCAAAAAAGAAGCGCCAGCAGCTTCAGCAACCAGCAGTGTGACGGAGCCTCCTCTCCCTGTCATCTCTGACCTCTTATTGAAATTAGACGATTTAGCGTCACAAATGATACCGAAAGAAGCAACCAGTAAGAGAAGATCGATCTTAGAGACACAAACTAATGAATTATGCACTGCGTATGCCACGGAAAGTTTTGACGAATGTGATTTACCATCACAGCTACCACGTACCAGTAGTGCCTCTAGTTCTGGTATAGGAAGCAGTATTGGGCCTCCTACACTAGGTAGAGGTGATAGTAAATTGTCTAATATCGGGGAAGATGAAAACACACCAGCAGCTGATGAATCGCTTCCTCCTGAAGTCAAGTTGCGTCCAAAGACAACAAGCACACCGCTTAGACGAGGAAAGTCTATGACGAAGAATGACCACAATTATCTGGAGGTTATATGGACAATGAGCGACTTAACAAATGCTTTAAAGAGACTGCTGGAACCAGACTCTGATAACAATGCTTAACTAATCCCTTAATATTTTTATAGTAATATAATACCATTTTTTAACTTATAGGTGTGCAGTGAATGAAGCCTGGGATGTTTTATTATATATATAAACCTACATTGTATATTCACTATTCAGTCTTAATATTAACAAACTGGGGGTGTCTTTTTTCAAATTTTTAGACGTTGGTCACTGCACTGACTGGGCCTGGCCTCCTCCGGGGGGCCTCGAGGTGGGGCGGGGGACTGGGGCCAGCATAGCAATAGCATCCGAGCGCGACTAGCCAGCATCATGTCGACGACCAGGACTAGGCGAAAGCTTCTGGTTCAACTAGGTAGGATCTCTCATGTATAATATATATATAAATAGTTCCTTTAAATTTTAGATATTTCATACCTGAAACTTATCAGAGATGCTTTAAAAGAGAACGGGGTATCTGGTGGTGAGTGGTATGTCTTGGGGCTTGAGCTTGAAGTACCATCTAGTAAACTAAGACAAATCGATATCGATCATCATGGTGATTCCTCTCGCTGTCTACTGGAATGCTTGGAGGCTTGGCTTGAACATCGTTGTCGTACATGGGGCATGCTAGACACTGCACTCAGAAAGATAAATGAAACTGCTGCCAAGAACATCAGAGAATCATGTAGGTCACTTAATAGTTAGTATTATGGTCTAGGGGAGTATTTAGTAATGAACGTAATGAGACTGTTGGGGTAGTAGTAAAAGTAGAAACAAAACGAAACCAGAAACGAAAAGAAACCAGAACAGAAGCAAAACTAGAGAACTCCTAACATAAGTAGGGCCCTGACATGACTAGGGGACTTCTAACAGAATAAAATTACACTCAGGAGACTGTTTCTTTTCGTTTCTGGTTTCGTTTCGTTTCTACTTTTACTAATACCCAAGACTATTAATATGACGCACAAAAGTATACTATTGTTTAGCTGTGGCTATGTACATGTATTTTGGGGTTTGTAAAAGAGTTGTATGCAACAATAAAATGTATGGTCAACATTTTTATTTTGATCAGTCTACAAAAATTAATTTTTAAGCTCGGCACAAATGATGTTAACACTTATGTATACATAGTTACATAGTAAAGCATTCACCACTTTATATTTTATCAAAAATTTGTCACTGCATAGATTTATTTTTTGTTCATTAGATGGTAATCCTGCTAGTCAGCTTCTACAACGGCTTTACAAAAAAATCTTGGAAAAGATTTCCTTTTCTGAAGAATCTGTGGAAATGTTCTACAAAGAAGGATTGATAACAGAAGATGGACAGGACATGATTAATGATTGCAATGGTTCTCTTAATTTTGATTCACTAAAAGAAATTCTTTTTGTGGTCGCAAAAGATCATGAGAAATTGAGAAAGTTTGGTGATATTCTGGTGAGATCCGGGGATCAGCAAATGTTGGCAGTAGGTAAAGAAATTTTAGAAAATTGTAAGCAATTTTTTGTATTATAATACTTCAGTAACATCAATTTTTAGTTAAACTTATTTCTCCATGCTCCGTTACACCAGTTGATCTAATACATGAACCAGTGGTTAATGAGACCATGCGTACAGGTAATAATACAAATGTATATGTTTATTTATTATAATGAATTATCAATACTGTGCAGATAATGGTATCCATGTCAGTGAAGCTAGCATATGAAACTGATTTTGATGAATTTAGAGTAAAATTTGTTAAGACACGGGAGCAAATAGCTAATTCAATTTCCCAATGCATTCATCCATCAATGTTTATTGATCTCAAGACACATCTTATATTATGCTTTCCTGAGCAGGGAGAGTTAGAAAATGCTACTGATGTTAAAAGTGTTATGAATGTAGTGAAGATTCACTGTACAATCATAAATATTGTACCCATGGAAACCATTGCTGATCACTTTAATCTGGATGAAGCAAAGAGCCTTGTTAAACAGTACAAAGAAAGCCTAGATAGCTTCTGTAGTGAAGTGAAGCTTACATTTGTGCTTGGTAAGGATCTGTGTCCTCATTATCAACCTTTTGTTCATAGTGAAATTAAATTTATTTTGGATTGGAATCCTGTTGACCATAAATTTCAAGACATTCGTCGTTTAATAGAGAAAGCATTCAAAGATATGAACAAAAGAGTCATTGTTAAGCGAATTAGCGAAGGCAGCTCTATTATAGTTCTCTGTTCTGCTCCAAATGATTTATTGGATGCTTTATACTTAGAAGCACAGAAAAATGTTACTGTCTTGATACAAGAATTCAGTTTGGTTCAATTAAAGATTGGCAGTTACACTGTCTATGATAAGATTCTGAGAGGCAAGGTATGATATTTTTGATGTCATCAACAGTAATAATTTTTAAAGTAGGAAATGAAAATAATGAAACAGCAATTAGAACAAGAAGCTAAAAAACTACAAACTTTTAAAAATGTTAATATTCAAAAAATTGCAGGTACTCTTTATACTGAAAATTGTTGTAGCTGCATGATTATTTGTTTATTTTATTAGCAGCAAATAATTGACAATTAAATCAAGAGTAGATTAGAAGTTGTATAACATACTACTTTTAACTTAATTCTAGGTAAAAACAAAATTTTATTGGAAGAAAGATCTGTTTCAGACTCTTCTAGATTAGCACCTATGCAAGAAGTAAGAATAATTATACTTTTCAGACTGTCAGTAGCGTGTTGCTGTAACTTTCTTTGTTGTAAAGGTATAGTTGCCTAAAAATCACTTCCCTTGTAAGTTTACATGAGGCGCTAGTCCTTAGAAAGAGTAGCCCGAGTCTATTATTATTATTAATTTAGTGAATCAAGCAGTGCATGTAATTATGCAGGACAAATTTAGGAATTATAAATGTAAAGTTTTTTTTACTTTTTTGTTTTGGCAATTGCTTCATTTTTATGATATTATTTTTAAAAGGCATACATTATATACATACATATAACCTAAAATAGACAAAAATGAATATATTCTATTAATTAAAATGCACCAGATGTTATCATACTTGTGAACTGTTCCCTGGGTGTGCTATGTGTGTACATGTATGTTGTTATAATAATCTAATTAATTAAAGGGCTCTGGTCAAACTAGAGCAATATTTTACCAAATGAGCACTGTTAACTTACTTCATAGATACATGTGTATTTAGCTTTCATGCTGCAGATTTTCATAGTCGTTTTCTCATGATAGGCAGAATTGGAGAAAAGTTACTCCATAACATGCCTGTCTTCATCTTTTATAAAATAAACATTGTGTTGTTTATTGTCATTTCCTATTTTACAGACAGATCACAGTGAAAATGAGTATGTGATCATTAACAGTGATGCTTTTGCTGGAAAACTACTCAAAGATTTACTCAAAATCAATGCAGTTAAACTTTTTCGCGAACAAGTCTCACATGTCGAGAAGCAATTGGAAAAACAATTGTCTCTTCCACAAACAAACAAGAAAGATATTGCTGAGCTGCAGGAGAGATTCCAAAAAGATCACGTTGAAAAGTTTGAGGAGCATTGTAAAGTTGTCGATGAATTGATGCGTCTATCTGAAGAAAATGAAGCATGGCAAAAAGAATTGAATCAAAAAATAATAAATTTAACTGAGAAAGTGGAGAAATTGCAGACAGCATCTCCTGTTATGGAAACAGAAGCTATTGCAACGACTGGCAGTGTGGTGGAGCCTCCTCTCCCTGTCATCTCTGACCTCTTATTGAAATTAGACGATTTAGCGTCACAAATGATACCGAAAGAAGCAACCAGTAAGAGAAGATCGATCTTAGAGACACAAACTAATGAAGTATGCACTGCTTATAACTTACCACCAAAAATAGACAGTTTTGATGATTCTGATTTTCTACACTTACCGCGTGTACACAGTAACTCTAGTTCTGGTATAGGGAGCACTATTGACCATCCTACACTAGGTAGAGATGACAATAAATTGCTTAATATCGGGGAAGATCAAAACACACCAGCAGCTGATGAATTACTTCCTCCTCATGTTAAGTTGCATCCAAAAACAAGCAACAGACTAGGAAAGTTTATGACAGAGAAAGACCACAATTTTCTAGAGGTTATATGGACAATGAGTGACTTCACAGATGCTTTAAAGAGACTGCTGGAACAGGAAAAGCATTAAAAATAATAATTAGTGTATTCATGTATTGTATTGTATTATCTTTAGTCTCTTTTCCTTTTGGGCGTGGTTAAACTGGTTATACAAAGATTTGAAAATTGGAAATTTGTTAGCGTCTCTTTCTCTTTCTCTCTTTTGCTTGCAAAAGTTGCTTTGTGCTGCATTTCTTCTCAAGTTACCCGAGACTGTTCTCTGGGACTATACCAAGTGAATTATAATGTCAGGGGAAGAAGTCGCCTCTCAGCCCTCTGATGATCCTGTAACGGAATCCTTTCCTGAACAAGAGGTGGGTACTACACTACAGATAATAGCTGCTTGTGGTAGATAAATCAATTTTAATGCCCACAATGTCATTTTATATGCTGTCCCGATTTCTTACGTGTAAATATACACAGGCTAGCATGCAGTTCATATAAACCCCGCCTAGCACCAACTTTATATTTTAAATGGGACATAGCAATGATGGTGAGTTTCTTCTTTGTGCTAATCTTTGTAGTTCCCATCCATTGTGCAAATTCTGTTGTTTTTGTGAATGGTGTAAAGAAATTTACAAGTAGGAGTGTTTTAGCATGTCCTGTAGCTACAATTATTATTATGGTCATAATCATTATTTATGGTATTATCAAATTATCTTTATAAGGAGGACATTGTGCATACTTATAGCCTAAAATAGACAAAAATGAATACATGTTATCACTTAAAATGCACTTAATGTTATCATACTTGTGAACTGATTCCTGGGTGTGCACTTAAATATATGGTGGCTGTTGTGTGCATGTGGTTAGATCTAATAATCAAAATTAATTATCGTACAAATAGCAATCGATTAAAGCAATTATACGGCCCTATTCCGCATTAGCTGTGACCCCCTCCAGCCAGTACTGTGTTATATAATATACTGTACTTTTGTTTTTGATTCCAATTATGTTGTTTAATAACATCTCAACTCTTTAACGTAAACAATGCAACATTGTAAGTGACTGTATTATTGTTTATTATTATTTTTTCTAATTTTACAGACGGATCAGAGTCAAACTGAGTTTGTTGTCATTAACACGGATGAAGGAAATACTTTTGCTGGAAAACTACTCAAAGAATTACTTACTGACGTAAAAGCCTTTCGCAAAAAAGTCTCCGATTTTGAGAGGCAGCTAGAGGAACATCTATCTCTTCGGCAAACGAATCAGAGAGAGATTTCTGATTTGCAAGAGAAATTCAAGCATCACGTTGAAAAGTTTGAGAAGCATTGTGAAGGGGCAGCAATGGCTGATGAATTTGCTTGTCTTTATGAAGAAAATGAAAAGCTAAAGCAAGAAATGAAGGCACTGAGGGAAGAATACGATCAGAAATTGAAAGATTTATCTGATAGATTGCAGACACCATCTTCTGAAGTGCCTGTTACAGAAACAGCTGAAAATGAAGAAGTACCAGCAGCTTCAGCAATCCCTCCACTCCCTGTGATCTCTGACCTCTTGTTGAAATTAGACGATTTAGCGTCAAAATTAATACCAAAAGAAGCGACCAACAGGAGAAGATCAATGTTAGAGACACAAACTAATGAAGTTTGCACTGCTTATAACTTACCACCAAAGACAGACAGTTTTGACGAGTTTGATTCACCACAGTTACCCCGTACGTACAGTGCTTCTAGTTCTGGTATAGGAAGCAGTACCGGCAATGCTACACTTGGTAGAAATGATAGTACATTGTTTAATATCGGGGAAGATGGTGATACTACAGCACCTGACGAATCGCTTCCTCCTCAAGTAAAATTACGCCAAAAGACAAGCACACCTGCTATTAGACGAGGACAATCAATGACGGAGAAGGACCACAATTATCTAATGGTTATATGGACAATGAGTGACTTCACAGATGCTTTAAAGAGACTGCTGGAACAGGAAAAGCATTAAAAATAATTACTATTACCTGTATTGTATTGTATTGTACTTGTTTGTTTTATTGTGTTATAGGCCTAAACATGCTGTATGCATTTGGAGGGAAAGGATGGTTTGACAGTGTAACCATTCAGCAAGTAATATTCACCATTTTTGCTCAAAAACATATCAAATTAAAACCCACCAGTCACTAAATTTAGTAATTTCCTCCTCCTATGCAACATGACTATTTTCTCACTTTAAAAATATTTATTCTTTTCTATATGTACATGTATTGTAATTATTATAATTATAATTATTATTGTTATTGTTTTTCTGACATCAAAATCACACCATGTATGTTGATGTCATACATCACTATGATGTCATTATTTTGTCATGCATGCACTATGAGTACTATAGAGTGCGAATGAGTGTGACTATCAATAGAGTAAAAGTATTAATGTCATTTACTATCAAAACAATAAAACAAGAGAATGAGGAAATAGCAATACACTAGGGGACAGACCATTTATGAATATACTTAAACTAACATTTCCGTGATTTAACACATTTTGATGTAGATGTCACAATGTTATAGTTGTATAAAAATAAAGGGAAATAGAGGACAACTTTAGTTTGCAGAGAAGAAGAAATAAAGCAGAAGAATTAAAGGAAGAGAGAGAGTGGGCAGTATAAAATATGACTGATCATAATCAAACAGTTGCACAAGAGCCTGAGGAAGGACATGTAAGTGTGCAATTTGAACTGTATTCCCTGGCATCTATTGTATGGATTCCTGGTAGCATAGATCTATTGCAGTGTTAGATCTGATCTCTATCTTCAAGATTGTTGCAACAGCATTAGCATTGTGAAGCTGTTGTAGGCCTAGGGGCTATATGGAAACCAAAAGTTGATGAAACCAGGATATGATACATGTATGTAGCATAGTAGAAAAACCAGGCTATATGCACATAGCCAGGCCGCTAAGAAAGTAGACTGGCTAGCTAGCCTGGTTTTTAGTATAGTATACTAGTAGAAACCAGGCTACTGTATGTATATTAAACCATGCTATATAGCACATGATAGCCATGGACACACAATAATAGTCTCTCTCTCTCTCTCTCTTCCTCATTCCCTCCTCTCAGGATGATGAAAGGACAGAGCTAGTGTTCCCATTGGAAAGGCTACACATAAGGACATCACAGCTGCTAAATAACGCTGACCAAAGGATGACAGAAATATTGAGAAAGATGACGGACGAAAGAATTGAGAAGATGAGTATAGAGCAAGAAGAGCTAAAAGAAGAAATAAAAAAGATCCAAGAAGAATTGAGGGAAGCAAAAGAAAATGTTGAGGAAATAACAGAACTGAAGAGGAGAGTAGATGACCATGACAAGAGACTGAGGGTCGTAGAAAGTAGAGATCATCATCATCATGGGATCTTGAAAGTGCCAGTTGGAAGAAGAAACCCATCAGCAGAGAGTGACATGGGATATGGGGGCAGTAGAGATAACAGCTCGAGTAACCTAGAGCTTCCAGTACAAAATCCACCTGTATCCCTCCTTGGGCCAAATGATGATGATCAAGCAAAATAAATAAATTTATATATTTGATATACTGTATACTTCTTTCCTTAACTCTCTCTGAAAATAATGTACGTATCTGTCTTTCACCTATCTTTCTGTATCTGCTGGAGTTCTCTTAATCAATTATATTCTCTCTCCCTCTTTTCCAATCTCTATCCTGAATTCTTCTCAATGCAACAAATGTGATTATGATGATTTGTAATCATAATATTATCGTCTTTATGTTAATTATTGTTATTGAAATATACCTCAATCGCAAATATGTTGAGCTATTTTGCTGAGAAGGGAATCTATGGAATTAACTCTACGTGAAAACTCGTCAATGTTTCCCAAATTATGACAAATTCTTATATAACATATGTACCTAAATGCCACTCCTTTGTACTTACAGTAGTAGAGTTTACTTAACATGAGTAAACCCTAATTAGGAGCTAGTGGTTAGCGTGATCGAAACATAAACTATGAAATGGACCATGAATTGCACAACCTCCTTTATGTTATACGTACATAATGTGCACGTGTGCATGTATAATATGTATCAGATTATCTTAAAGCCACTATTATTTGTGAGTACTAATTTTTTTCATTTTTTGTGAGTGGCTTTAAAATCGCAAAATTAGTACTCGCATTTATTAATAATTTAGGTTCATCAATAGTTATTAATTGGGAAAAAGAGCAAAATCGTAAAAAATTAGTACATGCTAAATCAGTACCATTAAATATTTGTCTACTTAAAATAACTGGCCTTTTATGTTATATGTACAAACCTTTTATGTTTTAACAAACCCTTTTATGTTATATGTACATAATGTGTGCATGTATGCATCTGATTATGTTTTATCTTTGTATGGCTTTTTTGTGTAGAAATATAACATAAATGAAATATATCATATATGAGAGGCTGATATGGGTTGATACACCCTCCACCTCGGATACTTTGAATTGATATGACCCTTGGGCCTTCAGGTGATATTAATTCAAAGTATCCTCAGTCTCAGGATATCAACCCACATATTGTCGTGCTATACATAACATAATACATCAGCAGATATGTACTTTGTATGGCTTTTTTGGGGTAGACGATACTTCCCAATTATTTAGGATGGGGTAATTAGTGGGTGGTTAATTTAGTTAAATATTGTCATTAAAACTATTAGCATAAACACATGAGAGAAGACAGTACAATAACACAGAGTGCATGATGTGATGTCATATGATGTCATATGATGTCTTCATTAAAATAATCCCCTCCAGCCCTTGAAACCACACAGACACTCCATGATAGTATATAGCATCATTGGAATGAGGATGTTATGAATGTTTATTAAAAATAGAAAACATGAAGTCAAATAAGGAGTAGGTATGCCTGAATGTCCCTGTATTTCCAGGAACTATAGTACACAGGAAATGATGATGATAATTATGCATATAAAATATAATAATATACTGTTCTATTTTTAGTAACATAACACTGGGCTTGTGTACAAATCATTCAATTTGAATATGAAACCACGTACCAAAGTTTTGCATTATTGCTATTCAAACTGCTGTTTTACAGACAGTTACTACCGTATAGCGGAAAATTTTCGTGGCCCAAAATTTTCAAGGATCCATCCAAAAATCAATTTTGTGGCTTTAATTTTCGTGGTTTTCTACAATTCAGCCATCTTAAACCATATAAAATCGATTTTCGTGGATTTTATTTTCGTGGGTTTGAAAAAAACGTGAAATCCACGAAAATTTTGGGCCATGAAAATTTTCCGCTATACGGTATATCCATTATGATGTACAGTGTTCTTCATACAAAAAAAGTATGCTAACTATTTGCTTACTTGATTCATGCCAGCATTTGTGAATAGTAGTGTTGGATCATCTACTGGTATGGTAGACGATGAAGGAACATTAACAATTAACTCATTAACATATAAAATGATTGATTTCATGCGAGTATTAACATTGGGATCATCTATTGGTGTACATATTTAGTCTTGTGCAGCCAGACCATTCCTCAACCTACTGTCATTTGGGTCTACCCAAATGACAGTAGGTTGGGGAATGGTCTGGCTACCCAAATGACAGTAGGTTGGGGAATGGTCTGGCTACCCAAATGACAGTAGGTTGGGGAATGGTCTGGCTACCCAAATGACAGTAGGTTGGGGAATGGTCTGGCTGCACGAGACTAGTACATATCAGGCCCGTAGCCAGGGGGGGTTCGGGGGGTTCGGACGAACCCCCTGTTGTAGCTGCAAAAAAGTTTTAGATTAGCTCCTGTCATGAAGAACAGCACTGCAAAAGCAGGATTAGCATTTTGGCAACAGCGAGAAGCACAGATAGCCATTTTAGCTGAGTCAGCACATGGCTGAGATGCGTAAATTAAGACCACGCCTACCAACCACGCCCATTTTCGTCACAATTTTCGAACCCCCTATTTTAAGTTCCTGGCTACGGCCCTGCATATTGGGGTCTCCTGTATCAACTCTATGTACATGTATAATACTATTGTTGATAAAGCTCTAGTTACATGTACATGTACATATGCAAAGGGATTTTAAGAAAGGAATTAAGGAATTCACCCAATTGTTTGGAATAGATATGCCACATCTCAGAAATTGTAATACAAAATTATATTATATATGTGCGCATGTGGGAGAATTGCGTGAATCATAATTGTTTATGAAATTCAAAGTATTTTAATTACAAATAATGCCCAGCTGCTATGTAACTCTCACACACACACACACACACACACACACACAGACTGAGTACAGTGAGTACATGTACACTGTACAAGTTGTAGCCCAGCCTACTACTATATCTACTTCCTGCTTTTACCATCTACTTATAGAAGAGCTGTATGTCTTTTGCAGTATTTGGGTGATTGTCAAAAATAATATTATAGTCCTGTTTTACTGGGATAGAGTGAAGATGGCTAATGCACAGAGGTCACCAACAGAAAGAACAGTAAGTTTATAAAAGTCTAATGTATACATATAATGCTCTCTCTTTCCATAGCCTCCCATCACTACTGAATGCCAAGAAGAGAAAGGACACAATGATGGAAGAGAAGAGTTAGTAACCAGTGCATATACCTGGATTAAAAGGAGGCAGCAGCAGCAATACTTAGAAGATATCAAGGAAAAAACTGTTCAAAAGCTCTTGCCTCAAGTGACTGGCACCCCAACAGCTAGTACAGGGACAACAGCAGCTGCTACAGGGACAAAGAGTACTCAGACTGAAACTGAAGTTATGAAAAGATTGTTCAATCTACCATCATTCAAGCAGATACCAAAAGAAATGAGAGAGAGAATGATGGAGGAAATGAGAGGACAAAAGGGAAGTGACGATGATGATGATGCAAGCTCAGGATATCAATCAGTTACAAGCTCTTTAAAGTCTTTATGATGATCATCCACACACACTCTCTCTAGGCTCTCTCTCCAGACTCTCTCAACACCTCTCTCTCTCCTTCAACTCATCCTGTGTAATTATTAGGCAGTTCACAGAAGTTCATTAACTGGATATATTATAAATCTGTTCATATGCTTGTCTTGCAAAACTCTTCCTCTCTCCTTCACTTATGATGTATTACTGTAAAATTTGTGAATTGATACCCACTCTTGTTGATACCCATAGCATTATAATTATATTATTAAATTTATATTCTATTTTTCTTCAATTATTGATTATATTTTTGATTATATTATAATACAAACAATATCAAGCATGCAGTAATGAGTAGCTGCCAGTAAAACAATAAACAAATTATTGTTTTAGGGTTGGTATTTGTAAACAAATCCTTCACACCCTCAAATGCAATTAGCATACAGTGAATAACTCGATAACAGGAATTACTGTGAAGGATAGGAAAGGGATAAGTGCCTCCATCTTGTGTTTAGTCTGTCTATATGCTAAATAATAATAATAAGAGAACATAAAGGGTTTATATGTTCATGCTTACGTTATTTATTCAAATAAACGATTAGTCTATCCTAAAGCATTAGCTGCACCTGGAATAGAAACACTCAAAAACACAAGGCTGACAACAATCACAATAAGCCTATAAGCATTATAAGCATTTGACCACAAAAATGTGTTTACTAGTATCACTAATCTACTAAGTATAAATAATAATAAGACAATGGAGCCATTGTTATTGCATATGAGGTGACGGTGGCAGCTAGGTGGCTGATGCCAAAAGAAATTAGTCACAACGCCCACTAGATATTATCATGTGTACATGTACATGATGCAAATGTACATGTAAGTGTGTGTGTGTGTGTGTGTGTGTACATAATCACATCCTTTATTATGAATAAGGTATTTGTTATGGTAATACCAATTATAGTGTACCTGTTGACATTCACTGTTCCAGACACTGAGACTAAATAGGTGAGACTATGTGAGGTATTGCAAGAAGCAGAATAATGGCATTAGCGAGTAGAATGGGGTAGGAGTGGGCAGATTAGTGAAAAACAATAACACCAATAATTATTTATCTACCAATAAACAATTATGAGTGTAAACACAGTAATTAGGAATCTATACATTCTGTCTGCATGTACATGTACATGTAGATGTATCAGGAATCCACAATACTGAACATGTATTGATCACTAGCAGTAATTCCTTCAGAATTTGATGAAAATACCCTATAATAATAATCAGAGAACCTCATTCACATAGTGTTCATACTCATCTCTCCACATATAACCATATAAGGTCGTATTATAGAGGCACAATATAGTATGTAATAAGAAAGTGACATATATGGTAATGTACATGTACATGTACATACAGTCAGTAGTGTCTCAATAAAATGTTCTATAGTACGTGACACATGATAATGTACATGCATTCAAGCATCACTTAGTGTGTGCCAAATTTAGTGTGCTTAACATACAGTGTTATATAATTCAGTGTAATGTAGTCAAGTATATCCAAATTAGTATGTTTACAAATACTATAAGATAGTGACATATATCCACATGCTTTACACACTGAGTGTATATTATAATAACAATTGGAGAGAGAGAGAGATCATTATTGCTAAATATGGTAATCTGAACTTTACAGTATTCATAATGTGATTAATGTACATACCAGTAGTACCCATACCACATAGCCACAATACTGGGAAAAACATTCCCAGACTTCCAGACTTTAAAATCAATTATTTATTTTGTTTTTATTATAATCATAATAATTAATCTACATAATGGATCAAACAATACTCTGATATGCTAGTAGTCAATTAACTATTAGTTTATAACTGGTTACTTGGCTTCTATCGGCTTTGATCTCTTTCTTAGTTTCTTAACGAGCCAAACGGTAGCAAAAATAGACCCAAAGACCGTTATAACTAACTATAAGACAAGAGAGAGGATAAGAGGGTAGAGGTCATACATACTTGTATTCTAACTAATACATGTGCTACATTGTACACATGATAATGGGTTTCTCATTCTATAGTACAGGGACTTTAGCCCAATTTTTGAACAAATTGAAAAATTTGTAAAAAATCCGATTTTGATCGGAATGAGCTCAAACTTTCTACACAACATAAGTACATGTATATGTATCAGAAAATGAAATAAAAATGGGGAATTCTTTCCTAGTCATTTTTAGTCAAATTTGGCCAACGACCCTGTACTATAGTACAGGGACTTTGGTCTGATTTTGGAGCAACTTTAAAAATTCGTAAAAAATCCAAATTTAATTGGAATCAGCTCAAACTTGCTACACAACATAAGAACATGTATATGCATCAGAAAATGTAATAAAAATTGAAAATTCTTTCCTAGTCATTTTTGGTCAAATTTGGCCAACAACCCTGTACTATAGTACAGGGGCTTTGGCCCAATTTTGAAGCAACTTAAAAAATTCGTAAAAATCCAAACTTGATTGGAATCAACTCAAACTTTCTACACAACAGGCTTGGGGTCAATTACAATTATAATTGCAATTACAGTGTCAATTACAATTACAGTGTGTAATTGTAATTGATCTAGTTTTAGTTGCTTTGATAGTATGATATAATTGTAATTGAAATGAAATTTTGTAATTGACCCCAAGCCTGCTACACAACATAAGAACATGCGAGTTTTGAGCACAAAAAACTAAATGCAGTCCACATGCTGCAAGACTCATTTAAGAGCATCTGGTTGTAATGCATGTAGTGGTAGGTGTGGTTTATCAACCCACGTTTCTCCTTCCTGGGATAGTGTAGACGTTAATGTACGCCCTCCAACCGGTTAGGTTAACATTAGCATCACCTCCTCCAGCCATAATCTACCTAAAATATAATAACATTGATGAAAAACAACAGTTTTACTTTTCTCAGTCTTGTTTATTAGCACGTGCACGTGATTGTAATACAAGCCACACCCTTAATTAATTTTAACGTGGGCGTTCATTGAGCCACACCCATAAAACACGTGGTGTGAGAACTGAGTCTGAGAAAGAATGCAAAGTGATTCAGTAAGATATTGATATTTCGATTATTAAATTGATTATCCTCTAATAATTAGGTTATATGGGATGCTATTAACAATGGTTTCTGCTCATTTAAAACAAAGTAACACTATAATATATTTATTTGTTTATTTATTTATATTCTGTAGAATCACGTCTAACACATTTTGTCGTCATACCTACAACCTAACAGGATTATGCAATAGAACAGTTTGTCCTTTAGCCAACAGTCGCTATGCCACTATAAGAGAATTCTATGGTAATCAACTAATTAATTGATTATTAATTAATTGGTATATTAATTAATGTTAGCCCCTCCCTCTTGATAGGTAAAGTGTATTTGTGTATGAAGACAATTGAGAGAGCACACCAACCTTCAAAAATGTGGGAAAAAATATTGTTATCAAATAATTTTGAGACGGCACTAAAACAAGTGAGAGATTGAATTTATTGTTGAATTTGTTGTTGTTGTTGATTTGTTTAGATTGATACCAATTTGATTTATTGGCCAAAGCACATGATTCATAAGTGTAAGCAAAGGTTCGCAAAAATAACTCAAGTTAGTAAATGAATGATGGAGAAAGGCCACTAAATACTCCTTGGTCTTTCTCGTAGTATTTGGTTAGAAAGAGAAAGCTAAAGCTCAAAACTCAGTACGTGTAGCAGCTGCTTTTGTAATCCGAAACTTGTAATATATTTTGTAGGAGGAAGATTATCCCTTTAAATAGAAAAGTGGAAAAGAGAGAAAAAAGACGTGAGGTAGAATAACCATAATAATATTAATATTTATTATTTATAAATAGGATAAAGCTTTGGTGGCTGCTAGGATTGAAAACTCAATTGAGAAGGAATTATTAGAAAGACTAAAGAAAGGGACGGTAAGAATCACATGACAGTCAGGTGACATTAGTCTTTAACAGTATGGAGATATTTATAATATTGATCATAAAGAGTTTGAGAAGGCACTCAATGAAGAGGAATCAGAAGATGAGCAAACAAAAGGCAAAGTATGTAGTGATTATGAGGAGTAAATATTTACCAGGGGGAGAATTTTGTAGCATTCCTGCACTTAATTTATTTGATTAGTGTACTAAAATTTATTTGTATGTCCACTCAAAATAGATTATGTTGATTTGCCTGTTTTTGGAAAGTTATTGATGTTTTAATAGGAAGGTGAGGATGAAGATGAAGATGAGTTTGTTCCTGACGATGAAGACATTGAAGAGAGTGACATATCAGATATAGAGGTATAGGGAGAGAGGGACTGTGAACATAATGTCAACGGCTAATAGGATATTGGGTACACATCAAGTGAAGAGGAGGAGGAGGAGGAAGTGGTAAAGGGTAAAGGATCATCTCGCACAAAAAGAAAAAGACAATTAATTGAAATAGAATATGAAACAGAGCAAGAGCCACCTGCTAAGAATAAAGCTACTACATTTTAATAACTAAAACTGGTTAATAAAGTATTTTAAAAACACACACACACTTTGTCAATAATAATACCTTCTTCTCTGTTAGTTACTCTCCTAATTATTAAAAAAATTAATAATTAATGTTGTTATTATTATTATGACAAAATGCTGTCTTACTTGGCAAACAGTTTCAAAAGAGGAAGGACAAGCCATCATTCCATTATATTGTCCAAACCCGTTTGATGGAGCACTAATATTGAACTAAAGGTATGTACAGTAACATTGGAATGAGAGTGAGAGGAAGAAAGGTGTTACAGTTTGTCCTGGTTTGTTGCAAGTGTAAGCTGTTCCTTTAACATACACAGTCAATGAGCTCCAGTCTCCATTACAACTGCACTGTTGAGAATAAGATAACTTTATATACTTTCTGTTAATTTTATCATGTTTTTAACAGTATAAGCTGAACTTTAAAAAATGCTTCAAAACATCACCAATTATACCCATCGGTCATTTTGGGCTTTGAAAATTCCATATGAAAAGATTGAGCTAGATTATACTTTTCAACTGATGCTTTGGTTTCCAAATCATTCATTAAATAGGAGGTACCTTATAGCAACCAGAGTCCATGAGTGGTCCTATGTTAGTTCCCAGGGTCCACTGGTTTGCATGATTGAAACACTTTGATCCTGGACCGTATGTCTCAGCAGCAATATCTTGATTATCTTCATGCAACAAATAAATAAATACACTATTATATCTGTTATACAGAAATACCTGGAGGCTGGTTGCTAGGATTGCTGCATTGTGTATCTCTACCACTTGTATAACTGAATGACTATATCATTAATAATTTAATAAATTTACATGTACATTTTACTGTAATATAATTACATTTTGATAAGGACAGAAGTCACCAACTTGATTGCCTCCACCAACAGTAGGATCACTGAAATACTAATGATTATTAGAGCGTAATAATAGATGCTTAACAATCCATGAATACTTGATATTCCTGAGGTAAGGAGGTAGTGTATTTAGCAAGATTGCATTCAGCTTTATACTCTCTATCAGCTGTACAACCATACCTCAGTCCCTGATTGGAGGAGCTGAACTGATTACAGAATGGTGTTAGACTCTCACCGCTATCATAATGAAAGTGAAACTCTATATACTTGGTTGTATATTGTAACTTACGATTTTGACCTCTCATTCATGTATTGATAGCAACTTTTAGTAGCTAAGCTGCAGCCTTTCTTGTACCCCCAAGCAAGATACTCACCATAAACATAGTTGACTTTATACCAACTGTCATGAGAGAAGGAGACATTACATTAAAGAAAGGGAGCTATTGAAACAGCTAACCCACTGTCCTCCAACAGTGCCAATGTTATATTAGACAGTGTTGGATTAGAATCAATGATACCAGTCATTACTTCATTCTATCAATAAATAAAACAATTTTGTTGAATTATAATCCTCTCACTCCTAATATTCTTTTCTCCCAATGAGATAACTGTGTTCCTTGTCCTCCTTGATTCTCTAATTCTACGCCTACTAGACTAGAGCAATCGAAGTATCTTGCAGCTTCAGCCTATTTGAAACACATTGAAACTTCATCTTTATCTCTCCATTCAATTCTTCTTACTACAACAGTAGGAGTGACTACAAGATTGACAGTGTGACTGACTGATCCTTTATAAACCTGCCAGTCATTATAAGTCACTTGTTTTATTGTGCTATCACTCCACATGTAGTTATAGCTAGTAATGACATAAAATGTGCATTCATTTTAACTCTCTCTCTCTCGTACTATCCACTGCCTCTTGGTGGGTAGCCATTGCTATCTCTGTCTGTTCTTGGCTTTCCATTTTGATCTCTCCAGAAAGGATATAGTGACGGTGAAAATGCCTACATAAATATATGCACAGCAGAACATGTTTCACACAATAGAAATACATAATCCAAGGCTATAGCCCATGGTTTTTTCCAAAAAATGGCTTCGAAATCACCCCAAATTTTTATTACATTTTCTAATACATATTGATGTCCTTATGCTGTGTAGCAAGTTTGAGCTGATTCCAACTTCAATTTTTCAAGTTACGGCCATTTTAAGAAAATGTCAAATTTTTGAAAATTACCCAAGGCTATAGCCCATGGTTTTTTCCAAAAAATGGCTCCAAAATCACCCCAAATTTTTATTACAATTTCTGATACATATTGATGTCCTTATGCTGTGTAGCAAGTTTGAGCTGATTCTGACTTCAATTTTTTAAGTTACGGCCATTTAAAAAAAACCTCAAATTTTTAAAAATTACCCAAGGCTATAGCCTATGGTTTTTTCCGAAAAATGGCTCTGAAATCACCCCTAGTTTTTATTACATTTTTTGATACATATTGATGGGACTGTCCCTATGCTGTGTAGCAAGTTTGAGCTAATTCCGACTTCAATTTTTCAAGTTACAGCTATTTTAAGAAAACGTCAAATTTTTGAAAATTACCCAAGGCTATAGCCCATGGTTTTTTCCAAAAAATGGCTCCGAAATCACCCCAAATTTTTATTACAATTTCTGATACATATTGATGTCCTTATGCTGTGTAGCAAGTTTGAGGTGATTCCGACTTCAACTTTTCAAGTTACGGCCATTTTAAGAAAAATTTTTGAAAATTACCCAAGGCTATAGCCCATGGTTTTTTCCAAAAAATGGCTCCAAAATCACCTCAAATTTTTATCACATTTTTTGATACATATTGATGTCCTTATACTGTGTAGCAAGTTTGAGGTGATTCTGACTTCAATTTTTCAAGTTATGAGGATTAATAAGTTCAATTGACTCCATTACATTACGTACCAGTGCATGGATTATTTCGTGTTTAGCTGTTGCAATAATGAAGTCATCAGTTACTTTATCAGTAATTGCCGAGGGACAGAAATTAACAGAACCAGCTATAGGTCTGCAAAGAAACAATTAATCACCACTAATAGCTATCAATAAGTCTTAATAACTACTAATAACTATTAATAACTACTAATAACTATTAATAACTAGCTTGCCTGTCTAATGCACTCTCCATTTGGCACGTTGTTGCAAATGCTATTGTAGAAGTTGAGCCACTTCCTCCTCCACAGCTTCCAGCAACAACTGCTGATACATAAAGTATCATATCAGCATTGGATATACCAGATCCATCACTACCAGTCTTAGTACATGTATTACTATTCCCATTGCACTGTATGCAAGCCTGGAAAAGAGATAATAATTATTACTATAGAAGTTTTGTTTTATTAATAAAGTAAGCAAACACTCCATAGCGATATAGTCGATACCTTTAAGTGGTCTGAAGGAACGGTTGTTTGTCCACAGGTAGTAGATGATTGACAGGTATAAGCACACCTTATTGTGTTGTTAATGTTAGTAGGGTAGTAGGAGCCACCAGTGCAACTTCTATACAATCCAACAGTTATCATAGACTAACTATTACTCACTCACTCACCTCTGTAGGAGTATTGGTGCTTGTGTTGGTCGTACCATCAGGAGGGACTCAAAAAAGGTCTTTAATTTAGGAACAATAGAATTCTAAAATGATAGCATGAAGAATATAATAAAGTCTAACAAAGTACTTACTTGAATCCTATCCCTGACACTGCTTGGTATCCTGTGTAGTATGCATGGGGACAGAGAATTAAATCATTAGTATTTTAAAAGGTGTATGTCATACCCGTTTGTAATAGAATCATCATAATAAATGGATAAACGGAGAGACTGGTCGGAATCCCTTAGAATGAGAGAAGAGAATGGCTCCAAGTAGACACCATGTATGATCTAAAGGAGAGAATACGGTACATAAAGGAGCTGTGGCCTCAACTCACATCTCCTTTATCTTCAATAATCTCTTCACTAGCTGCACAGTATGAGACTAGACCCACTATCAACAAGAAACGAATAGAAACACCAGCCATCTCTTTATCCACTTCTGCTAGATAAGCAGTTTCCCGCCAGAGCCCGGGAAAACAAGCCACACCTGCAAATGCGAACGCCCACGCAGATATTAGTAATAACAGAAAATTATACAGAGAGAAAGTCTAACAAAATCTGACACATGATTAGTAATTATTATGAATAAAAGAAAGGAAAAGAGAAGAGAGAGAGAGAGAGAAGACAGAGAGAGAGAAGACAGAGAGAGAGGGTTATAGTATATGATATGAACATAGTGGTACATTGTACCAAAGATGAACATAACGTCATAACTATGCAATTGAGACTATAGTTGTAATTATAATAACAATAATTATTATTTGGTTATTATAATTGTTGATCGGTATTTTCCCAGAACTTCCTCATCGTTGACTGAACAGGCCAGAGATAAGCTACAGCGATGCCAGGAACACTCCGCCCATAAGTCAAAGGTGCTACTTCCTTCCATGTTCCTTCCTCAGGATCAAATTTCTCGACGACGTCAACAGTTTTAACTCCATTGTATCCACCGATAGCATAAACCTCACCTAATGATACCCATAGATACATTATTGTGTTGAGATTATTTCTGTTTTATTTCATCTCCCTCCCTCTCTCTTTCCTTCCTTCTCCTCTCATTCTCCTTTCTCTTTCTCTCTCACTCTCTTCTCCTTCTCTCTTACCTTTAAGAGCAGTAACGGCTACCCCAGTCCTGCTATGGTGCATTGGAGCTATCATTGACCATTGGTTCATCTGGGGATCGAATCTCTCCACTTCACACAACCACTGGCCTATCATAAAAATAAAAATAACAACAACAACAACAATAATAATAATAATCATAACAATGATAATAAATGTACCGGAATCATATCCGCCCACGGCATAAAGACAGCCACCCAGTGCAGTGACACTGGCCGCCCCACGGCTCCGGTGCATTGGTGGCATCTCCTCCCACTCGTCTCTATCAGGATTGTATCTCTCCATTGAGTTGAGGTTAGACCGAGTCCCATCGTCTCTGTTACTGCCACCGACGGCGTATAACAAATTATCTATAACTGCAACACCTTGAGAAAGACAAAGAAGCAAACTAACATATGTCACTTTCTCTTTTTTCTTCACATACCAACATTCCTTCTTGGTGTTTTCATTGGTGATATTTCGCTCCATGTGTCAGTCTGCATGTCATACTTCTCTGCAGTTCCTAGTATTGATTTACCACTGTAGCCTCCTATTGCATATATTGCACTGAAAGTGGCACCAGTAACAGCATCTCTCATGTCTTTAATGGCACCAACACCAAGATTCATCCTAGCTGTTAACATACTGGACACCTGGGTCCATCTTGGAAGAAGAGAGAGGGAGGGACAGAAAGAAAGGGAAAGAGAAGAGATAGGGAAAGAGAATCATCATTATTAGATGGTCAATATGTACATGTAATATCTCCATACCTCATTGTTCTAGGATTATAACATTCAACAGCATCAGTGCTGGTCTTTCCTTCAAGATAGCCACCAATTGCAAATAGTAATCCTTGAAGTACAGCAACGCCTTTTAAAATAAACAGTCACAAAGAGATTATGATAGAAGGACAGACACACATATTTACATATACTGCGAATCAGACGCAAATACAAACAATAATAACAAAGAAAGTGCACACACTTTCATGTACATATACATGCACATGTATACATTATCATCACTTTATTTACCTACGCCACTCCTCCTGTAGTTCATTTGTGGTATCAGATCAACAACCCAACGATTAGTTTCAGGATCATAACATTCAACATTACCCAATGTCTCATGCTCAGAGACACCACCTGAAGAGAGATGGAGGGAGAGAGAGAGGGGGGGGGAGAGAAAGAGGAAGAGAGAGAGAGGAAGAGAGAGAGATTCAAAGTTATCACCATGACAACAGTGTTCACATACATGTGCTTAATCAAAATACCAAGAATAAGTAAACAATGATAATTATTACCAAAAATTGTTATAATATACAGACAACACAAACACACCAACAATAGTCACATTACACAACAATACACAACATTACTCCACACACAAACACATGAGCATAACGTTACCTAGTATGTGAATGACTTCACCGGCTCTAAGAGTATCCCTAGGCCACCATTTCATTGGAATTTGAGTAGGCAAGCGAGAGAGGTGAGAGAGGTTGTTTGGATATGAATCGTTATATAAAGCTCGAGCAGCATCTCTTATCAGTTTCATGCACTGCTCGTTGCTGCTTACAAGCGAATTAGCAGCAACTTCAACAGCAAAGAACTCTTGGCCTAGCAAAGGGAGCTTAATGTGGTCTAGTAATTCGTAGAAATGACCACTACGCTCCTGCGTGTTGTGTTTGACCCATCGGACTAGAGCATTAAAGACAGACTCTTCGCCTTCGGATAATAAAAGATCGTTGCTGGATAGAAAGTGCTTCATTCTGTTGTATGATATAAGTACGAATCTCTCGCTTCTTGAAACGTCTGTGAAATGGCGTCTACAATAGGTGAGGGCTGCATCAAGGAGATCTTGACACGATTGGAACTCAGCGAAATCAGCAACATCGAGACAATTGACGGAATCAAGGCGATCCTTGAGGAACTGGCAGCAGGCCTCACCAGCGTGCAGCATTTGTAGGAAGTTTGATGCGGCTAGTAAACTCTGAGCATTCTCCTCGTTGATCTCAAGGACACAAGTGTAAGCGAATTTTATGAGGGAGGACAAAGCAGAAGGTTCAACACCTTGTATGACAATCCTTCTTTGTCCACTCTCTGCCATCTGTCTAGTGAACATTGCCCTAAAGTACATACTAGAGGCGGCGAGGACGACTCTGTGCGCTCTGAAAACTTGAGAATCAGCTACCAGCTCCACATCCGTTAGTTCAGAGTTCCTTCTCAATTGGTCCATGGTCTGGAGTGCTTCTCGTGGTAAAGTATTGTCAACGAAATGAGGACGGGACTTTAGGTCCTCCTCTTCCCCTACATTCGTCTCGTAAGTATCCATTTTATGAAAAAAGGAAAATAGAAGATCTTTTCTCTCTCTTGTGTTTTGAGAATTGCTGGCCACGCCCACAAATCCCTAATACACCAAACCACACCCACTAATATGGCTTGCATGCATGCATGCATGCGCTAAGTTGCTGCTAGCTCTTGCAAGATAGAGCTAGATCTAGCTAGGCTCTTCTAGAACATTCGCTATGATTCGAGAAGGTGACTTGTTTGTATGTGTATAAAGGAAGGAAGCTTGGCTCGCTCGCTCAGTCTCTGTGAAGAAAAGATTCAAAGAAACTACGATGTCTATTATACGCATTATTTTGGCCTGTATTGTGTTCATCATTGTAATCATTCACACAATTCTTGGTGTCAAAAAAGGATTAAAAATTCTTGATGATCCAAGGCCTATGACTCTAAAAAGTTAGTTTTACCATAGACATTAGAGTGGGATGGTTTTACTTAATGTGAATGTGTACCGTATAGTGGGTTTTTGTCAAGGATAATAAATTTTGCGAATGACCAGTATCTGGAGGCTTGCGAATTTCCACTCATCTGCCATCGTGTACCGTATTAAATTGATTTTCAAGGGAATTAACTTCACAAATCTCGAAAAAACCCACGAAATTTGTTATCCTCGAAAATAACCCGCTATACGGTATTTTATAATTGGGGCAAGCAAAGCATCTTATAAAGTGTAAAAATTGAGGTAAAAATATGGAACAGTACAAGCCTACCATGGGTGATTAGGGTGTGGTGACTGTGGTCACAATGAACAAGATGGTGGTGTTTAAATGGGACAAACTTTTGTGTTTTGTAACAGAGAGAAAACAATAATCCTCTCGCATTAGACTAAGATAAGATTTAATCGAGTGCTCATGCTCACCCTCAATGTTTATACATTCACCTAGTTATGATTTATATAAATTTAGGTACTTTAGGCATTATAACAGAAGCTATTACTTAAGTGCAGCCTTAAAAGGCAGTACGCAACCACACATGAGTGTCAGTCTCTCACCCACATTGTATACTGATCAGTGACCGGGAGCCTGGTCAGTTATACATAATGTAAGTAAAGTATTCTTTTTTTTACATTTCAGTTTAATGTGTATTACATATAAATTTAGGTACTTGGTGCTCGACTCGACAGATACATTTATTGTGTGTGTGGTTGTTTGTTTTTAAAAAAATTAAAAAAGAAACATTATTATGAATTACTGCGGTTAGCAACTTTGCATTATAATGGGAGGAGCATTTTGCAAGAATATAAACGGCATAATTCATTAATATTCATATGAATTTAATTGTAATGGTTATTAACTAAAAATAGATGCAAATTAACCAGAGGTCTCTGATGCAACTAAATCCATATAATGATTTAAAGGCATAAGGACATCACAAAGTCACACCATCTTCGGGATTGTTGATGGCTTAGGCACTATTTGATACCTTGCCAGCTAAAGGCTGGTGAAGCTATCCTTTATTTCCTCTCCCCTCTCATGGACGTTTGGCAAGATGGCTGAAGTCGAACCCATTTACTAAGGCATACTACGTAGTATGGTAAAATGTGCCTCTCCGGACAAAGGAAAATATGGAAATTGGAACCCACTATAGGATTGCAATTAATGCATGCTCCATCATAGATATATTTTATGTACATCTATGGCTCCATGCACATAGTCTGGTCATGCTCCTTCTGTGCATGATAAAATAATTATAAAACAAACCATTAATAATGACTAACAAAAAATGGGTATAAAAGGTTCCGGATTTTCTGGGAGGCGGGAGGAATAAAAAAATCAAAACATTTCACTAAATCAGCTAAACTATTACACTCTTTGATTTTATTTATACAAGGCAAGTCAGAAGGAGATAAAACAATGTGAAACGTGACAACTCTTCTATCACCGTGACGAGCAACAGAGTAAAAACTACAAAAATGATCATAATTAAGGATTTGAAACTGAGCATTCTCTGGAGAAAAACAGCAACTATGAATGCACACAGTCCTAGAGAGAGAGAGAGAGGAAGAGAGATGGTAATTCACATAATGTACATAGGTACATATCATAGACAATCATTACATTACCTTTCCTCAAGGTAACCAAAAGCTATACCAGCATCTCTGAGGTCTAAATGAACAGGTGCTATCCCAACAGTATCAAACAGACCCATACCAACTGACTCCAATAGTGTAACACTTGGATCATAATCAACATCACCAAATAGCCAGCTGTGATACAAAACATTGACTTCATTGTAATTATTGCAAAGAAACTTCTGGCACACTCCAGGAGGAGGGCTGGGATGAACCATAACGTAATAGTCCATACCAGGAACTGAGTAATTGGTAATAGGAATGGAGTAATCGGTACCAAGAATGGAATCATGAGAATGAGATTGAATAGGTGGACTATCAGAACCGTCTGGGCTGATGTCAACCATTTTAGTAATGGCCTCAATAATGATATAATCATCATCACTATTATCACCAACATCTTTACAAGGTGAATCTTCCCTGATCGACATGTCAACTATTAAATTAGTCAATTTATCCATTCCGCCGTTACTAATAAAAAGAGGTGCGGCTAGGGGTGTGGTCGGCATCGGAGGAGAGATCTCTTGCTCTTCAATGATAACAGGCTCTGAGTACACTCGCGGTAAAACTGGTTGGAACTTCCCATTAATCCCACCCTCTTTTAGCAGTCCAGCATCATGGGACTCACTCCTCTGTCTCCTCTTTCCCAGCTTTCTCAGACTCTCCTCCTCTTGTTTAGAGAGTGTTTGATCACACTCAGAAGAGGAGTGATAAGGGGACGACATCATGATACCACTATCAAATAAAAGGGAGCTACTAGTGGAAAGAGGGGGAGAGAACGAGTATTCAGTGGGAGGGGCAAGGGGCGGGGCTATTGTAGGTGAGAGGGGAGGAGTCATAGCATCATCGTTGATTTTCAATTTCTTAGTGTTGTTGGTCAAATACTCCATCTCAATTGATGATCGTCTGCCCTCTGCTCGAAAGCAAGCTACGTGAAGGACTTTACGGACTAACTTCTTGGCAGCTGTACGAATGGCATCATCATCGATTAATATGATTGGCTCCGTTATCATAAAAGACTCCTTCCTGTTGCTATGGTTACTGTTGCTATAACTACGTAACCACGTACTGCTAGCCTCTCCCTCTGTATCTTCATTGTCTTGGTCCATTGATAGTTCTGTTGATATCCTCACTTTATTCCGATAGGCAAAAGAGGAACGATACTTTAAACTAGCTGATGTCAGCACTTTCTGTACGAGGGTCTTTGCAACTGTGTTGAGGTGGGCATTAATTGGAGGACCCAAATCGAGCGAATTTAAAATGTCGTAAGGAAGGAACTGCAGGAAACTACATGTACATGTATAAATTAAATAATAATTAATGGAAATTAATAATTACTCGAGTGTTGGAGGGAGAGAGAGCAAAACCAGTGGAAGCGATAAAGCATAGTTTGAACCATAAACTCCTGCCAATGGAAACAAAACAACAAAAATACATAATGGAATAAAAAGGACGACATTGCTTGCCTAAGTGAGGTACTTTATGTATCCCGTAGCTATGCAGAGTGCTGATGGCATCGTCTTCTCTAATAGACAAGAGAAATGGCTCGTTATTTTCACTACCAGCTCCTCCAGGAGATATTCTACAGTAAGAGTCAAGACCTGCCATTGTGATTGATAGTGTGCAAACAATCAACAAACCACACCCATTTAGTCTATTAGAGCACGCCCATTTAATTAATAAGGGAATGTTATTATAGAATTATTTTTACAAAAGTGCTTGTGATTTAGCTTGTACAGTCTCCACTAGAGATTGTGTCCCATGCTTTCTCTCAAACTCAATGTAGCGCTTGTATAAAAACTGTTTCTTTACCGAAGAAAGTTTCAAACTAACAGCACGTTCAAACACATCCCTGAGAGAAGAGAGGGAGAAGAGAGAGTAGACTAATACTTCTATTACTAGTGTCCATTACCTCACTCTATCCATTTCTCCTTTCTTTGTTAACATGTCAATATAAACAGACCAGATATCAACCTTACGAGGATAGGATGAGACCAGGTTCTCAAACAGTGTACATCCTCTCTCCATCTCGCCATATTTGAACTCAAACTGAGCAAACTGCTTAGTAATATCAACATCTACAACCCCACAAGACATATGGTTACAACAATAGAAGCAGCTGATGTTTCTCTTACGTTGTTTCTTTGTGAGAGACTTGAAACTTCTTTGTAATATTTTACGCGCAAGATCAGCTTTGCCTTGCTCCATTAGGAAGCGGCCATATTGAGACCAGACTTGTATATTACTGCTGAACTTCTTACACATGATCTGATACAACTGATCAGCATACTAAGAGCAGAGAGAAAGAGGGAGGGGGCAGAAAATACATAATTAAATAAATAAATAAGAACTTACTTCTGGCTTATTTGAGGTGACATATATGTCAATCAATCTGGTATAAATCTCAAATTGATCATTTTGCTGCAAAGCTCTTTTAAAGACTTGGTCCAACGACTCACTGTCACCGTACATGTTCTCAAGATTTAGAAACCCAACCCACAGATTGAGCTTCTCATCTTCTTCCCTGAAAGAGAGAGGGCATAAAATATTTAAGCGATACAAAGTAATGGCTACCTAAATGATATTGCTGCTAGTCCTCTCTCGGCTGTAGCTCTGGCTTTGTCCACTTCAGCTGTATGAAGATAAAATGCCATGTACTGTAACCACAGCGAAGAGCTATGAGAAAAGGTAACATTAATAATAGTTAAATGATTAACATTAATAATGGTTAATTAACCTGTTTGGATTAGCTACTAATAGCCGGTCAAAATCATCAGCTGATTGCGGTAACCTGCTAGTGTCCATTAATGAATGCTCCCTCTATTAATATTAATTGATATTATTAATAGTTTATTGAACATTATATACTTTATAAAGCTGTAGCTCTTCTGCTTTCTTAATGGCCTTCTTCTGTCTCTTACTCTTCTTTTTGCTAATAACCTACAAAAATAAATAAAAATTATAATAAGTAATGGATGATGATTAATTATACTTCATTAGTATCTTCATCATCTCTCTCTTCAATGGTGTCGTTGGATGGGTTATAGTCCCAACCGCCAGTCACTGGTAATGGAGTCATGCTGCAGCTATCCTCTTCTTTATCTTCTAGCTTTCTTTTCTTCTTAAGTCTCTTTGTATCTTCAAGCACACTCTCCTTCTCTTCAATCTCTTGTTGATCCATTGTGTCACTTTCACCTTCTGACATTTCCACTAATTCTTCTTCTTCCTCCTCTTCCTCCTCCTCACTAAAACAACAACAAACAATAATAATAAACAACAATAATAATTACGTCGATTCCGATGGCATATTTTTTCTTCTTTTCCTTCCCTTTCGTTGCAACTCCTTCAACTTCTTGTACCTCAAACCTGCTGACTCATCAATATCCGAGAGTCTAAGAGACAACTCAATCCGACCGTTATTGATCCTAAAAACCGGTTACCATGGAAACAAAACCACACCCACTTACTCTACTACTTTAGCCCTAACTAGATCCCCTACATTGACACAAGACTCATAATTCTGGACATATTGATCCGAGAGGTTTTTGAGCATAACTCTACCAACGACGTCAGGACCAAGTTTCACAAATATACCATATTTGGTAACAGATGATACGTAGCCCCTGACCACACCCACTTCTTGTAGATCAGCGATATTATTGATTTCTTTATCTGGCTCAGAGCCATCAGGTTGGGCTGGTAGAGTTGGTATGTTAATTCCAGTATGACTTTTACGAAGTGAGAGATTGAACTGCTTTGAGGTTTTACCAATTACAACACAACTATAGAAAATGAACATAAAATTAAAATAATAATAATAATAATAATAATGATAATACCTGAGTTTGTCTCCAATGTTAAAGTACTGGAGTGGGCGTGGTACATAATAATCGCTAATGTTAGTGAGGTAGACTATTCCATTCAAATAATGATTGATTGATAGGACCAACCCACTGTACTGAACATCAGTAACACGCCCACACACAGTGTCACCAATATTAATCACTGGTAAACTACCTATTAATGTAATGAAAAATTAATTAATAACCTCAAATTTATGAAAAAATAATAAATCTACCTGTTAATATTAATTAATCAATGAATATTAATTACCTGTTAATGAGCCATGATACTGTCCTTTCTCAATACAGTCTCCTACAGTACATTCAACAACTTCCCCAACATTAAAACATTTTGTTAATTTTAATAAATTCCCATCCTCATTGACATTGCTACCAGCCAGCAGTGGGCAAATGACTGCAGACACTTCTGGTGTAATGTCTACTAGTAGACGTGATTTTGTGACCTAATAATATAATAAGCTCATTCTTTATTCATTGACCACACCCATTACCTCCCTGACCACGCCCATCCTCTTGTCCCCTGTTGTGAATGAAGATTCTATCTTAGCTTTTTCAGCATCAAATAAACTATTATACATGTGTATGGAAATAATTATCAAGTACAATGGACATGTAGTACATGTACCTTTTTCTAGTAGTCAATTCAAAATGGACAGTTCCAGGCTTAACTGAATGCCCAGCTCTATAAAAATAATAAAAATAATAACAATAATAATAATGTATTATTACCTCTTTCTATATTTCAATATTTTTGCTTTCATAACATCTCCAACAGAAAACTTACTCAACGGATAAGATCCCTATATCACAATACAATACATTGAACTATAGTCCATACATGCACAGTGTAGTGTGGCTACCTTTTCCATGTCATCTGCTAAAAGTGTTGAATGGATTCTTCCTTTCCATGGGCCAAAGGAAACACTCAACTGACTATCAGATATCTTAATGATCCTATTAATTGTTATTAAATATCAATAATCAATTATATTGATCTTACTTTGCATCTACAATGTCGCCAATGGTAACACTCAGTTGCTGAGCAACTATCTTCTGTGATAATGAGTTACTCTCTCCAAGGAGAAAGATTGGAGGACCAGACATTTTACCATTAAATAATGAAGAAGACCTAAAAAATATTGGAAAGAAGATATGATAATATGAATGCAATCAATACTAACTGTAGTACTGTCCCATTAACTTTAGCGCCTGGTTTAAGGTGCTTCAATTGGTAGGGTATAACTCCCCATTGCCCCTGTAATCAAGACAATTAATTAATCCATTAATGACACTACAGCACATACTGAGTCAAACAGTCCATATGCTAGTACTGATTGGTTGAGAGTTGATACAGAACATATTAAATAATAATTATTAATATATTCAATATGACCAGTGACAGTATGACCAGCTTCCAACTACGAGAGAGAAAGAAAAAGGAAGAAAAGAGAGAAAAAAATACATGTACACATACAAGTAGATTAATTTTCGTGTGTACATGTACATGTACTTACTTTAAAATAAGAATTAATGTCACCACTTGCTGTCTTTCCCTTCTTCTGCTTCTCCTCTTCCTTCCCTCTCTCTTTCATCACTTTACTATTCAGTGACACCCAATAGTTGCCTGTTTCCATATCAACGTCAATGACGCAGCATGTCACATGATCGCCAGGACACACCCCTCCTCCGGTCGCCATAGAAACATAGCCAGTGGCAGATGGGCCGGATTCAAGAGTCACGTGAAATAAAGAATTTGAAATATTATTAATCTGAAAAATAATAATTATTATTATTATTAATTAAAACTAACTTGTCCTTTCACTAAAGTGCCAGGTCTATAATAAACAACACCTAATTAATTAATTATTGTTAATTAATTATCATTAATTAATTAAGTGTTAATTAACTTACCATTGCTGAAAATGAGGTCCTTCTCTTTCAATAAATTAGCAAATTGTTTCAAAACTATCGACTGCACAAGAGGAAGGGAATGAGTGAGAGAAAGCTTGAGATCAGAACATTTCAAACTGATTGTTATATTCTTCCTAACTTCATTCAACTCATGAACCTATTGGCAATAATGGGAATAAATTTGTGCCTTTGCTATAGTAATTTCAACTTTAAAATTCATAAAAAACTAATTAGCCCAAAGTCCCTGTGCTATAATACATGGTCTTTGGCCCAATTTTTGGGCAACTTTAGAATAAGGTAAAAGTAATAAATAAATAAGATTATTACTTTAGCAAACACGGTCTGTCTTTCACCATACACTCCATTAGTGTCTGTTATATATTCATCTGATAAATACTTCAAAGGAGCTAAGCCGACTAAACCATTAGGAAACTCAATGAAAACCCCATAAGAATAGATCCTCTTGACAACGCCAACAAGAACCATACCAACCTACAGGAGGGAGAGAAAAGGAGAGAGAGAGAGGAAGAGAGAGGGGGGAGTTAGAAGTTTTTAAAGTTATATAATGTACATGTACATACGTGTAATTCTTCAAATGTTTTTGGATATTTCTCTTTCAAAAGATCATCAATGATGAGTTTCTTAATACAGCCGACAGCTGGTGAAACAGAAGTAGCTCCACTGAGCACAAGGACATTGCTAATGATGTACTTCTCATTTCTATCACTTTTATCAGAGAGCATTCTGCCATGATAGGCCAGGAGGTGGCCATTAAGAGGAGCGTAGTCACTCAGGCAAGGAGTAGGTATAAATATCAGCTCATCATTACACAATAGAGAGACTCCATTACCAGCCACACCAGTAACCTCACACTCCAACAGATCACCAGGTTGGGCCTGAGACTCAGTTGTAGGTGGGGCCTGTTTCCGTAGTGACAACCGAACCTTGTTATTATCAATATCGACCGAGAGAACACGAGTCTGGAGTACTTGTCCTATCTTGAAGAACTGGCTCGGTGATAATATAACTTGAGTTGATGTTGAACTGAGTTCTACATTAGGCAGAAACCCAGTTATATTATTATAGAACCTTATTATTAACCCTTTATCAACTATATTAATGATCTCTCCAGTGTATTCTTCGCCAGGTTTAACAGTTCTCACGTCAGTCAGTGGAGGGAGGTCACACGACACAATACTTTTCTTCTTCGTTAATAAAATGAAATTATTGTCAGTGTCGACTTTCAACACGCGACACTTGACGGCGGCACCTTCGGATAATTTCTTTAGCGTCTTCTTGAGGTGGGCGGAGTCAGAGAGCTGAGAGAGAGGGCAAAACCCATTAAGCCGGTTATTGATACTAACAGAGATTCCTTTGTCCGATATTTTCGTGACATTTCCCTTGATTATGCTACCAGGGGTGACATCGTTAATAGTGAAATACTCCTCCTCTAATGTATTCTCCTTCATAGACACAATAGCTAATCCATCAATGTAATTGTACTGTACTATTCTAACAGAGTGGACTGATCCCACACAATGCTTCTTGCTTATCTTATCAGTTCTCTCACTGTACATCAGTCGAACTGGCGAGTAAGCAAAACTGCCATTAGGTAACTTTAGTATTACGCCATGCCTGGATTCCACTCTTGTGACAATGGCCTCGTGAAGTATCAAACCAATTTCCATTCCTGAAAAGTCATACCCGGTTCCTTTTATAATCTCGTTCTGTAGTGTGAGACCAATCTTTTTATTGTTGGTATCAAGCCAGAGTACCCTAGCCTTTAGTTTCTTATTGATGGCGTAGTCTGTTAGTGAAGTACCTGGAGTAGGGAGGTGCTGGTAATGAACGTAACCTTCAAAACCACCGAGAAATGATACTATCAGAGAAGTAGGCGTGGTTTGTTTGACAGATACGTTGAGAAGCTGACCGGGCAGTATAGACGGAAGTGTGACAGCTGAAGAAGATTGAGAGAGAATTGAGGAGTACAAGATATCAGGAGCAATGGAGAGTGGCAGTGCACGAGCCGTGGGGCCTGGTAATATGAGAGTGGAGACCACTTGACCGATATAAAGAGACTCAGAACCAGAGTTCTTATTAAGAAGAAACTCAGTTCTGTCGGAGACACCAAAATCAATGATATAACCATGGTCTTCAATACTAGTGACACACCCAGACACAATCTAGAGGAGAAAGAGATGATACAGGTAATGTATAATGAATTGGATTATTCTTACCATATTTGGTATTAAGTTCTTTGCAGTCAATTGATTATTAATTAATTTTGGATTAATTGATAACTGGACTTGCTTCTCGCTATCGTTGACTTTCAAGACATAACAAGACAGCAGCTGTCCAACACGGTACATCTTTGATAGGTCTGGTACTTTCTTTGCATCAAACTCCTCCCCCTCTCCTCCAGTGTTAATCAAACTGCTTAGGGGGTCTGATACATCTCCAATATTCACAGACCCAGTCATGTTGAATGGTAGTGACATCAGCAGGCGATACTGCTGTACTTCTTTAATAGCACACAAAATTAACAAACCCTCTTTTAAATTCTAATAAATTTATAATTAATTCAAAATTAATTGATTAATAATTAATTACCTTGTGATACAGGCGATCAGGAACTTTAATATTTTTGACTGGTTCTTTTATTTCCGTCTTTTTCTTATTTTTAACCCCTTCATCACTCAATAACATAGCGGCCGCTTCATTCTTTTCCAACAAATCCGACTTCTATTGTAATTACTTAACTAGTGGGTGTGGTTTAAAAAACTATGCACCTTTCCAAATATATCGTCATGTTCAGCCTGATGGATTATTTTCCTCCTTTCCAACGGAGTGATCAGCTCTTTCCCTCCTCTTGGAAAGTCTTCTTCTACATGTACTGTAGTGGCAAGGGAGATCCTGGGTGGGCTTTAATTAGAAACCAACAATAGGGCTTGCTTTACCTGTCCCAATCATTCGTTTCTTTAATTTCAGCCGCTTCTGGCTCGAGGAGCACCTCTTTCTCCTTCTTTTTCTCCTTTTTGTCTCTTTTTTTCTTTGCAGGCATGGCGACCTCTCTTCTCCACGTGGATGGGCGTGGTACAGTAGTTAATTTACTAATTGCTTGCTGGTTATTAATTGTCACGTGCTGTCACGTGGGCAAAAAGTGTAATGGCGTCTCTTATAACCGAAACGGTGTTAAAAACTTTAAAGGAATCAGATCCAAAGAAGCTCTTCTTCCATTTGTACCGTCTCCCTCATTTTGGAGTAGGTCGGAGGTTTGTTAGAGTGACTTGGGGTGACCATACAGTGAAGGGCAAAGAGGAAGATGGAGGGAAACAGAACCCACCGACTTTCTGGACCATTACTAGAGTGCAACCCGACGGGGTATGTAAAAAAAACTTGTAAAGCAAGGGTTTTATTTTTGTGTTTGGTTAGGAACTAAAGGGCGGACAGGTGTGGGGAAACTTAACATGGAAAGGTATGGAAATAGATCTTAGTTAATGTATTTTTTTTATTATTGTGGAGATTTTTGATCAATTTTGTAGGAAACCTTGATCCCAAAGAGAGAAGAATCCTGTCTCATGATTTACGGGATTGGAAATTAATTCTACTGAACGAGGACGAAAAGAAAACTAATTATAATAATCCATAAACATTATTAAACCATGGAGTGGGCGTGGTTATGCAATAAATTAATTTATCAAGATGTTAATTAAAAATGTTAATTAGTGATTAGGAGAGGAGAAAGAGAGGAAAGATGGCCATGTTTCTCTCTTTCTTGATAGCTTTTCTCTCTCTAGCGAGAGGACAAGGTTGGTAACTCCCTGTATTTGCCTCGTTATTATTTATTTTCAAGATATCGGCCTCTCACTCCAGTCAACCAGCACTATATTACCAAATATCAGTATCATCTCAGGCGCTGATATTGGAGGAACGGCTCTCAGGGGCTTGGATTGTTTCATTAGCGGCGGGTCTAATGCCCAAGACATCGGTGCTTGGTTTAAACCCGACGGATCTCAAATATTGACGACTACATTTAACAGTTTTTACTGGTAAGGACTTTGTGTTAATTGATGGAATTTTTGCTGGCTACTTTTTATTGTGTTTCTTTACATTAAATCTCAGTTGATGCATAATAGTATCTGATAGTATGTAAACTAAGAAATAGTAGCACCATATCCCCCAATGTATCAAAAAATTTTTAAATGCACATGTAACTAAAAGTGAACTTAAGGTATATAAGCACTAATGTAGCTTTGGTTATTATTATTATTATTATTATTATTATTATTATTATCATTGTTATTATTTTTATTGTTAGGGTGCCTGCTCCTGGTCGGGTGTCCCTGTACAAGGCCGGAGGACTAACAGATGTCAGTGATGAAGGGATTTATACTTGCAATATATCAGGAAATACAGTGTATGCAGGGATTTATACTGTTCAGAATTATAATGATGGTAGGTAGCCATGCACTGTATGTATCAGTAATGTAAACACTAATGATATTGATACGGTAGTCAAATTTTTCATTAATGCATACATTTATTGTATGAATTATATTAGTAACAACATCAACTGTGACATTGTGTTTTTTTTCTAAAATAGGCAAACCAGTTGTCCCTTCTCCTCCATCTTTCTCTCTCTTGTCTAACCTGAC